CCCTAGTCCCCCCTCATCCTAAGCCCATGGTGCCCTCCCACAACGTTCCGTGCAACGCGCGTCGAGCTAGGGACCTCGGGCACCGAGAAAACTCGCTTTTTCGACCCTCTCATCTCTGGAAGTCTGGCGGGCGAACGATAAGGCGTACGTCCGCGCGCGATGGCTCGTCGCACGCCGCTCGGTGAGACGAATCTAGGGATACCAGGCCCGACGAGTTCCGGCAAATAGCGGGTGAGTAACGCCGTTTCCCATATTTCCCCTATACCATATCACGGCCGCCCGGGGGAAAACGGAAAATACGTGCAAACATTGCTGTTATTCCTTTCGGCAAGGTACGCTCACTCGCGCAAGGTAGGCTCAACTGATGCGTTCTGTGATTGGCTGCAGATAGTCGTTGGCAACCGCGGTTGACCGACGGCGGTAGTATCACATCAGTGTTTACAGAAAACCATTAAACGAATAGTATATAGTATATACTATTATGATCTATGGACCGTGATTTGTGACTTGTGGACGCGTGTGTCGTGTGTTACTGTGTTTTATTATATTTATTATTTTATAACCAATATAACCTCTCTTAGCACTGTCGTAGTGTCGTGTCGTCTGTCTTTGCCGTTTGCTGTTTGTAGTTTTTTAAATATTAATCTGTGTCGATCTTTTGTGCTTCAAATTTAAAATTGAATAATATCTTCCTTTGGTAAGTAATTACATGAATACCTACTATTTTTAATTTTATGATATTTCATATTTCCAAATACAATTAAATGTAACTTGGTTGTAGATACAGCAGAAACTCGATTAACAGTCACTCTCGACAATGAGTGACTGGATGATGACGGATAACAGAAAGTGACGGTTAATCGAGTTTCTACTGTACTATTAATCTTTAAAATGTTGATTGTTTTATCTTTATTAATGAGGTGGATGGGTTTAGATGAAAATCATGAACAATTACAGTTTATTAATATTGAACATAATTAATTATTTATTATACATGACGATGTTAAACACAATTAATCCACATGATCTCAATGAGAGAGGCTCTCAGTCTGAGAACAATACAATTATTATGTACCTAACGTCTATGTCTACTACGAGGGGTAAATGACAGAAAGTTTGTACACCAGATTACTGATTTCAATGGTTATACCTATGGTTAACCATGATTTACTACAAAGATTACCTACGGTTACCCATGAATACCAATGATTACCCATAATTACCTATAATTACCATCACCTTATGTACACTGATTACCCCCAAGGTGTTTACCCCTCGGTCTACTATAGCATAGTTAACAATCATAATAATAATAACATTGATATGAATAATACTCAATTGTTATATTTATTAAGTAGGTATAATATAATAAAATATCTACCTTGACTAATAAGTTTTTAATGTGCATATTAGTACGGGTTAAAACTGTTTTAAATCCATAGATATTTGCTTCATACAGAATATACCTAGTTTGAGTTATTTTATTAGGTACCAGTAAAAATACAAAGTCTGTGGATATAAAATTGTTTAATACCTTCAAATAAACATACTATATTATACTAGGTTAGGTAGGTATACCTAGGTACTAAAATTGTAAGTATTATTGTGCTACAAATAAATAGGTACCTACCTACCTAACACAATAGTGAAATAGTTAATATATTATAGGTACAATCTATGCATTTTTAAATTTAAGTTTAATTATTTTATTTAATGGTAATAATAATATGTTCATTATTTATAAACTAAAGATAATACTGTTATACATATTTTGTGCAGCACTGGTGAAATAATTATTAAAGATATCTGATATTTCTTTTGAATTGTTAGAAATATATGTAATTCTTCCCCAGTGGCACTTTATATGAATTGGATAGGACATTTATTTTTTGAACGGTTATACATATAGTAATCTCTTTAATTATTTTCCAGTTTAATTTGGAGTTATGGCTTGCTCTGTCTAATTAAGATTGATATAATTTTGTATTGCTATTTGTATAGAGTTAGATAAGATATTTCTGTATTGTAGGTACCTATAGTGTTTTTTTAGTTTTTTGTTTGTAGGGTTTTTCTTTGTAGATAAGTGTAATTTGTCTATTGAAATACCTATTATTACCCTTTGAGGATATATTTGTATGGTTTAAGAGGACGTGATACCCGCATGTGTTGTCTCCGTCTTACAAGTGCGTAACATAGCAAATTATAGGCAAAGCAGAACACGTGTAGCTCCAATGCTCCATTAGCTTAAACATTTGAGTAAATTTACCTATTATAAAATCTAAAGGTAAGATTATTATCTAAACAACCTCATGGGCTTTTTTATATTATAATTTTAAAGTGAGTTATGATTTCTTTAAAATGTACGAACAATTTAAAATTTTGAAATACTCATAACTCGCTTTGAAATTAAAATGTAATAAAAAGCCCATGAGGTTGTCTAGATAATAATCTTACCTTTATATTTTATAAGAGGTCAATTCACTCTAATTTTTAAGCTAACGGACCTACACGTGTTCTGCTTTGCCTATAATTTGCTATGTTACGCACTTGTAAGATGGAGACAACACATGCGGGGATCACTTCCTCTTAATAGGAACTACTGTTTTAATTTCTAATAGGTTTTTATAAAATTGATTTTGAAAAAAAATCACATTTAAGTGCTCGATCTAAAAGAAGACGAGTTCAAGAAGAATTGCAAAGTGACGATGGAGCTTTTTTAATGGGTGATTTGAATAATAGTCCAACTACATCAAAAAACAGGGAATCTTCTTTTCAAACAAACATTAATATTTGCTCTGGTCAACCAGTCTCTCTGCAATTAAATGAAACAATTGACAAATCTCCATCCTCTCAAAACCCTCAAGAAATAGAAAACTTAGATTTGATTTATGAGTTTTTAAATAACAAATCAAGCATATTGACTTCATCAGAATCAGAATCTGAACAAGATGAAGATAATTATATAAATGAAACAAGGTTATGTGATCAAACTTTTTTTTTTGGAACATGTATTGCTAAGTGGGCTGTCGACTTTAATATTCCACAAAATGCATTAAATAAACTACTAGTTCTTTTAAAACAACATAAATGCTTTAACGATTTACCTAAAGATTCAAGGACTATTTTACAATCGAAAACAGTTGAGCCATATAATTTTGATGCTGTTGAACCTGGAACATATCATCATTTTGGTCTATTGAATGGAATTAAAAACAATCTTCCAGAATGTTTGAAAGATGATACCGATATCCATATTGTGGTAGGAGTTGATGGTTTACCAATTTTCAAAAGTAATCCAGAACAATTTTGGCCTATACTAGCATACATTCGCCCAGAAAATAATAATGTATTTCTAGTTGGACTTTATTGTGGCAAAGTAAAACCTGCTGATAGTAACAGTTTTATTAAATCATTTATTGATGAGGCACTATTATTAAAAGATACTGGTATTTGTATTAATAATAAAGTGTATAATCTATATATAGATGTATTTTGCTGTGACGTGCCTGCAAAAACGTTTTTATTAAAGACCAAAGGACATTCTGGATTTTTTTCTTGTTCAAGGTGCGAACATGAAGGCAAATATTTATCAAATAGAATGTGTTTTCCTTTTTCTTCTCCTACAAGATGTCCACCTAAGAGGACACATCAAAATTATGTAATGCAATCAAATGAAGACCATCATGTTGGTGATATATCTCTCATATCCTCATTACCTTCATTTGATGTGGTCTCCGATTTTTCACTCGATTACATGCATTTAGTGTGCCTTGGTGTTGTTCGGAAATTGATTCTATTGTGGATTAAAGGTCCGGTTAGTATTCGATATCCTTCATGGAGAATAAAAGAAATATCAATACATCTTGAAGATATTAAAGCTAATATTCCATGTGAGTTTGCAAGAAAAACTCGTAAGCTAGATGAAGTGAATCGTTGGAAGGCAACAGAGTTCCGTTTGTTTCTGTTGTATGTTGGTACTATTGTTACTAAAAATGTATTAACTGTCGAACATTGGAAACATTTTTTTGGTTTAAATGTAGCAATGATTATACTTCTCAGTCCAGACCACGCTCAATTTATAAATATTGCCAGAAAATTGTTGGACAATTTTGTGAGAAAATTTGAAAATATTTATGGTCCGCATCTGATATCCCATAATGTTTGTATCCCACATGGTTTGACACATATTTGTGACGATTATGAAAAGTTTGGGCCACTTGACAACTGTTCTGCATTTCCATTTGAGAATTTCATGGGTTCCCTGAAGAAAATGTTAAGGAAACCCGATAAGCCTTTACAACAGATTGTCAAAAGATATAATGAAATTTGTCATTTAAAAACTAAAATTCAAACTAAAATTGCCCCATATCAACTTTGTGGACCACATGTACGTGGACCAATATTAGAGAATGCATTAAAAGGAGACCAGTTTACTTCTGTTGTATTAAAAACAATGAAAATAAAAACGCACATAGAAGCTGACTCCTACCTACTTACTAGTGATGATAATGTTGTAAAAGTTTTTAATATAATATGCAACCAAAATTTAGATGATGTTATTTTAATATGTAAAAAATTCAAAAACCAACACATAATGTTTAATGATCCCATAAAATCATCAAAATTAGGCATTTATATAGTTGATAAATTATGTAATAATTTTATTTGGTATAAAATTAGTAGTATTAAAAAAAAAGTTATGCTCTTACCTCATATTAACAATACATTTATTGCTCTACCAATTGTTCATTCTACTGAAATATAAACTTTTTATTGTTAAACTCATAAACCTAATATCTATACAATTGTGTTTCCTATTATTATAAGACATTATTAAATGTATTATTCAGTTTTACTATTAAAAATTAATACCATTATATAAGATAATAATATTTACCTATTTTGAGTGACCTATATAATATTACTATTTTTATTTATTTATTTTATATTGTAACTAAGAAAAATATTAATTATAATTTACCGTAATTTACAGTATAATAATGTGGTCAATCGTTGCTTTTGATGCAGACAACACTGTAGAAGTTGTACCATCAAATTGGTTTCATAATAATGTATGTGCATGGCCCAAAAAAAATTTGAGATCATACATTGACAATCAAGTATCACCAAATGAAAAATGTTTTCGTTATTTAAATGCTCGCAAATTAGGAAAAAATTTAAGTATGAACTTATTTTTTAATTTTTATAAATTTTAAGTACCTAGTGAATTATGTTATTGTTTGTTTCACTAAATTTACAGTTAGTTATAAAATTGCCGAGGAAAAGGCCAATCTGGGTAAACAGACATCTGATTTGTCAACAAATGAATCTTCTCAAAAACATTTTGATACAAATAAACTGAAATTAAAAAGAAAGATATCTCTTGAAAAAGTAACTAAAGATAATAAAGGTTTATGGAGCCCAGATTCTGGTGATATTTTTGGTAAACATTATTTATCATAAATTATTTAAAATGTTAATAGAACTATATTATGTTTGTGACTTTGTTAAATACTCATTGAATCAAATTTTATTTAATAATTTCAGATGATAGCGATGTTGATCCTCTATACTCACCGCCAGTATTGAAGAATAATGTCCAAGGTAAAATATATATTATATTTGCATATTGTTGAAAAAGTAAACATTTATCATGTTTTACATATATTATGTATATGATTACTAACATGTAACGGTATATATTATTATATTTGCATGTTCAATATGTATATTATTGTTATATAATATATATAATAACATCCTAGAGTATTTATATTTACCCATATTTTACGTAATTATATCTATTATATAATAGTTATTACTTTTGTTTATTTTAAAATGAATTACTAATTAATATTTCCCTTAAAAATTACTTATTATAGTTAGTAATATTTTTAATTTAACAGTATTCCGTAGTGTATATATACTACTTTGCAAGATTTTTGGAAAATGTATTATTTACATCTATCATTTTGTAATATTAAATACTATTAGAACTTGTTATAGGTGAATTGTCATCACCAAAACATCCTTCAGCAAGCTTACCAGTATTGGCTAGAAAAAAGTTAGACATTGACATTTGTTCTTCAGGTGGTCCAAACAAGATAAAAAAACTAAAAACCGTGGCTGGTAAATAAATAAATGATTATTATTTTAACTTTTTTTTGTTTAATGCAGACACGCATACAGTGTGAAACAATTTAAATGGTAAAACACATTCATTACAATTAAAAATAACTATTGTTTTACAATAATATTAGTTTGGATTTTTCTCCATTATACAGTATTGTTTAATAGTTAATTTAAACATTTAATAAAAATATGTAAATTGTTACACATTATTATCATGTTAATTATAATAATGTTGAATATAATTCAGATTTCTAATATAATTATAAATAAAACTTCAATTTAGTAGGTATTCTAGTATCCAAGTCGATAGATATTTAAGATGGTATATAATATTTATGTGTAATATACTAATATATTATATGGTTAAAAATTTAAATATGTTTTAGGTAATTCAGTGTCTCATAATAAGCCATTATCAACAGAATCACCAGGTATTTCATATTATTATAGTGATCCTAGAAAAAGGGTTTGCTTATCAGTAAGTCCCAGTACATCAAACAAAATACAGGAATTTAAAAATGCTGGTAAGTTTTGTATTTTTTATACTAGCAATATATTATTTTTTTTTAATGATATTGTTTCAGATCAAAGTAAAGCAACACCCGATAGTATAAAACATACTGAAATTATCAGTACATCATCGTCACCATTTAAGGTCACTCGTCATGATGAAAATTATATAGCAAGTACTTCTCAAACTACTCAAAACAAGAAGATGAATAATAGTAGTGGTATGTTTATTTATATTGATTTGAGGTACTTATAGGAGTCTTTTATATCAATAAAAAATCCCAAATATATTTTCTTTGTAGGTCCAAAAAACTCATGACGAGATTTTAAATAATATTTAAATATTTATTGATTTACTTAGTATTTTGAATTCTAAAGGTTAAGTTACTTACAATTTTAAAATATTTTTTTCTAGATTGGTAATATAATAAATTGAATAATATTTTAATGTTATATGTATTTATATGTATTATACATTTATACCTCATAATATATTTAAAATGTATAGGTATCAAATATAGTGCACTACTATAATATAATGTAAAGTAATTCATTAATATAATTTAAAATAAAATATATTATGACACTTCTTATATAGTTTTTTATAAACTCCAAAAAGTATACTTAGTTTAATATTTATTTTCTATTTTGATTGGTATTTTATATTAGGTCTAAAAAAAATATAAAGGTTTCAATAACTAATTTAATTTATTTTACATTTCATTTAGATACCATTGAAAAAATGAACCGTAACGTCTTGAGTTTGAAGTATGAAATTAGATCTCTGCACGAAAAAGTTGACAAACTTGATGAAATAATTAGAAACTTCACAGAAAACAACAATGTTGGATATAACAGAGATGTCGGTAGTTTTGAAGCAGATTCATTTCAAACATTGTTAAGCAGTGATTTTCCTTTAGAAGATGAAAATGCTCTTCAATCATTCGAAAATAAGCTATTAGACAATAGTTTTAGGTTGCAAATGGTAAGTTGATACATTTTTAATTGTATATGTTATATTTCTTTTGATAAATGATAAATAATATGTATTTGATTTGGTGACAAATTATGTAAATTATAATATTTAAATAAGTAATCACATAATTTTATGTTTTAGGTTACCGAACTTAGCCGTTATGTGCGAAATACGTTGCCAAGCACCATTCGGTCCATAATGCGTTTCCTGTTCAAAGATTCATTACTTCAAGAATACAGTTATAAGGGCCAAAAAAAGAAAAAAGTGTTTTCAACACTTGGAGTTACCTCCTCTATTATATTTGGTATATATTTTACTGACGAAAAATTATTATGATAATATATATATATATATATATATATATAGGAATATTAACAATGAACTTTAAAATTATAGATGCTGTGAAAAACATGAAGCGTTATCATAAGTATGACAAAATTGATGTGGAACAACCTATGAAAATTTTTATTGCTGGTGCAAAATTTAGGGACAATAATAAGACTTCAGAATAAGAAATATAATATTTATATAATTCATATTATTAATAAGTATTAATTATGTGCAATAATAAACCTATATAAAAATAAAAAATTATTTACAATTAATATTATAGTATACATTTATTAAAAATATAAATTTATTATTTAGAAACTAACAATTTATTGTTAAATTATAAATAATAATATAAAAATATAATTATGAGAATAATATAATTATATTATTATAAAAATAATATAATAATATTATTATAAAAATAATATAATAATATAATTATAAAATAATATAATGATATTATTAAGTAATGTTAATATAATGTAACTTTGGTGGCCAACCATTATTATATAAATAATATTATAACATTTTTCTAATTAAAAAAATGGAGAAAAAAAACATTTATATAATCATGTTCATTACTCGGAAAATATTTTTTTTATGTCATATTAATATTTTTTTGCTATCTGGGGTTTTAATAAACTAATAGATCTAATAGAACTGATTAAACTTTGGCAGTTAAATAGTACGACTATATGACTGCTCTTTTTGCCGTTTTTTTTGAAAATTATAGTTTTAGCCCCTTTCGGTCATATCACCCTCCCTGTCGACTACTTATTCGCGTTCCCTGCTATATTTATAGCCACAGACGAGTCCCGGGGTGGAGTAGTGTGTCGGAAACGAGAGTAGGTACCCGTGTAGGTATCGCTATATACAGGCATATATACGCACGTATATACATGCGCCTCGAGGTTCGATTTTTTTCGCAAATCTCGCGTTTTGAACGTCTGAAGGTGGCGGACACGGTGGTCCGCTCAAACGCCCTTAAAGTGCATTACACAACTTTGGTGGCTAGGTTGGTTAGGCGTTAGGATAGGTGACTCGAGGGTCGTGGTTTCGAACCCGGTGGCCGTGTAAAATCGAATTCCTTTTTTTTGCGTTTTTTTTTTCGTCACATTTATCATTTGTAACGAAAGTGTTAATTTTTTTTTTTAATTTGCATTATTATATTATATATATTATTATTATTCGTTTGACGATATTTATTGGGCAAAAAAATTATTATAATTAACATTTACCGACGCACCTACATGTTTCTTTTAATAATACATTATAATATAACTAACCTACGTGTAGTACCTACTTGATATATTACAGTTTTTACGTGATTCCGATTTGGTTAAATACTGCTACAGATTATAAATACTATATTAAAAAATAGTACGACTGTAATATGACTGCTTCATTTGCCGTTTTTTTCGAAAATTCGAGTCCCGGGGTGGAGTAGTGTGTCGGAAACGAGAGTATGTGTAGTGTATTCATTTATAGATACCTACGTTTAATAGGATAGTAGTACATTTCAATAAAATTTGTTATTCACCAATATAATTATCTATTTGTTAATTTGACTTAATTCTCATAATTAAATAAATATACATGGAAGGTATATTTTAGAAAATATCCAATCAGAAAATTAGATTTTGTCGACTTATTTGTTATAACTTCGAAAACATAACAATGATTACATTGATTACAGTGAAGCCTAACATAAAACACCTGATAACTGTTCTCTATAATTATCAACAAATACAATTTTATTACCTCCTGTATACTTTTTCATATTTGAACGGCCGTTTCGAGCACTTTTCGCTGTAGGCGGATTGTCCGTTCGGGAATCGGATTTCACCCGAGATGACTGATAGCTAGACACTCAAACTCAGAATCCGAATTTCCGATTTCAACACACATACGAGAACCGGACACACACGCCCGGTGCATGGTCTGCGATCCGACGTAGTCGGATTGCCTACCTGACTAGCTACTTGCATACGAGCGACTTACACCCCCAGTGTCCCCCACTGCATCCGACACTCGGGAATCGACTTTTACCCGAGATGACTGATAGCTAGACACTCAAACCCAGAATCCGAATTTCCGATTTCAACACACACACTCAAGAACCGGCATACACGAATGGGGCATGGTCTGCGATCCGACGTAGTCGGATTGCCTACCTGGCTGGCTGTGTCTTACGATCGACTTGATATATAATATACGGGCAACCGTTTACAGATGTCGATGAGTTTCGTTCATCCCTTTCTCTAGCACATACATGCACATACACTCATATAACCATAGGTTAGTTCATACATATTTAGATACTCACATATTATATACATATTTGTATAATATTCCGAGCACCTTTTTACAGGGAAGTTTCATCAGTTTAAGCGTTGTGTTCCACCGTGCAACACAACATTTCAAAAAGTATTATTACATTCATTATAACAAACAACTAAACATACTATAAAACTTACATATTATTGTATTATATATTATCATTTATTCCCATACATGGTACACATATACAACATTCATACATAAATAGGTACTTTCATATTATATACACCATCACACACATCTAATCTTGTTATACAACTTACATATCAATATAAGACACTTCGTTACATATAGACACACTCACACATGAAATACATACTTTAAAATACTTACTCACATTCACATAGATACATTTAAACATTCCAATACATCCACCCTAAAAAGTATTTTCAAAAGTACAACATCGCTCATCAATTGGTTGTACCTACTACCTACTACAAAATTGTTATGCCCAATAATCATCTAGATAGTTCAATTCTATTATATGAGACCATCGTACCTAAGCTTATAAACACGCATATTATAGAAAAATATCTCAATTAAAATAGGTAGATCTACCTATATTTTATTCAGCTCAGAGGATTACTCAACAACATACACAAAATTATATATTTATGACACACAATATTATATATTTATGTAACTATAGTACGGCCAGCGAAACTAGAAGCATGATGGTCACGCTCCCGGTGACCGTTTTCGTGAAAGCCAGGGGTTCTAAATATTTAGGTTGTTTGTGCAGCTGCGCGATCTTTTTATCGAAATGAATATTTTTTATTATAGTGGATATGTTAGGTTAGTTTTATATTTTTTTCTAAGGATGCAGACAAGCGTTGAAGCTGTTATAGCTGTTTTATAAACAATTTTGAGTACCCTCCGAAAATGTACAATAGCCTATGCCCTATAACGTATAATGCTATTGTGTGACCGTCCCATGCCGAATACCTTTAGATTTTAATACAAACCTCTAACCATTAAACCATATGTTGTATGATCTGTATATTAGTCACTGGACTTCTTTGCTTCGTGTAACATGTTTTTTGTGTGTGCTGGTTGTTATAATTTGAATTGAGTTTGTTACGAATTTCTTGTACAGCTGTTACATATTGTTTGTTTGTACATTTTTGTTTTTTTTTTGCGGTTTTTCATTATTTTTATGCGTATATTGTTTATTTGAAATGTCGACCCGGCCAGATATTCATTCACAAACCAAAAAAACCATATACAACGTGTACAATTTTTTTAAAACGTTGGCCAGTAAAAAAGACCAGCCGGAAGTAGCAAATTTTTTCCGATTATGTCAAGAGAGGACGGCTGAGGCTTGTGGGGTAAGTCGGTCTACTGTACAGAGAATTTGTAAGGAAAGCAAAACTATATCTTTGGGTGATGAAGAAGAGTTAGGTACCGGAAGTTCTACGGATATTAAATTTCGATCACCTAGAAAACGTTATAGTCGTGACAAACCTGTCACCAATCTTGACGATTTCGACAGTGAAGTGGTTAGAAGAGTGGTTCACAGCTTTTATGATAAAGGAGAATTTCCAACAAGCGCAAAAATTTTAGCAGCATTGCGAGAAAAAACTGATTACCGGGGGTCGAAATCATCGGTAAAAATTATTTTGAAAAAACTTAATTTTAAGTACAAAAGGTGTAACGACGGTCGCAAATTTCTTATGGAACGGTCGGACATAGTAGCTGCGCGCGTAAAATTTTTACGTAAAATGAACGAGCTTCGTACAAATGGTGATATTCGGCCAATAGTCTATTTAGACGAGACCTGGGTTAACCAAAATCATACTCGGGGACATATTTGGCAAAACCAGGAGAATACAGAGGGCTTAAAAGTACCTACAGGGAAAGGCAGTCGCCTTATTGTTTGTCACGCTGGGTCTCCTTCCTTTGGTTTTGTCAAAGACGCAAAATTAATTTTTCGTTGTAACTCTGGCAATACCAAAGATTATCATTCACAGATGAATGCTACAATTTTTGAAAAGTGGTATTTGCAAATGTTGATGAATTTGGAGGAGCCCAGTATCATTGTAATGGACAACGCGTCATACCATTCTGCATTACTCGAAGACTACCCGAAGTCAAATAGTAAAAAAACGGATGTTCAGCAATGGTTGCGTGGCAAAAATATAGACTTTTCTCCCGTCGAAACTCTTGACGAATTACGGGCGAAAGTCAAACTTGCGATGCCGCGTGGAAAAATTTATAAGTTGGATGAATTGACACACCAAATGGGGCATGAAGTGGTGAGACTTCCACCTTACCACTGTCAGTATAATCCCATAGAATTGATTTGGGCACAATTTAAAGGGAGAGTGGCTGAAAAAAACTCAACATTTAAAATTGCTGATGTTGAGGCACTCGTTCATAAAGAAATTGATGCGGTAACTGCTGATGATTGGGCCAAATGTGGAGAACATTGCGTGAAAATTCAAGAGGAGGATTTCCACAAAGCAGGACTGAGGGACGAAATATTAGAGCCAATAATTTTAACAATTTATCCAGACGACAGCAGTTCAAGCGACGATGATGACGATGACGATGAATAGATTTTTATGTTTATTATTAAATTTCGTAAATAATTGTAAATATTTTAAATGTTACTATTATTATTTTATGTTTGAAAATTTGATAATAAATTAATAAAAAATGTGTTATACAGAAGTATAAATTGTTATGCCTTTAAAGTAAAGACCCGTTTCATAGCCACGCGTATAAATATACGATACGCGCACGTATAACAAGTGTTTGAAATTATTATACGCGGGAAACCATTCTTCGTAGCCCTAATGAAAAATGGCCACCGGGAGCGTGACAGTCAAGCTTCTAGTTTCGCTGGCCGCACTATAGTAGGTAGGTACCTATATACACTATACAGACTAAGGGGAATAGAGGATATCGACTCTGAGGGTCTCAGACGTCGTCTTCGAGATACTTTGATCACTAAATGCAAAAATAAAACTATCATATTTTGACTTCACCGTTGATACAGTACATTTCATGTTAGAAATAATACAACATTTATTTTATTAAATTTGAATTAAACATGCAACTTACACTCAAGTGACCGACACATATTATATTTTATCAGCGCATACTTACAACAGTCATATCACTTGAATAATATTTTTATTTTACCGTGTGTATACACACACACACACACACACAGGCATATCACCTCCGCTATATATCATTGTATAAGTTATAATATCGGAAAAATAAGAACTATTAACAATATCTCTCATTTCAGTAGATAGGTACTTTATGCGGTTTATTACAAAAATCCCGAAAAAGGTACCTACACAATAATTAACGTTACATTTGTAGTATTATAGTAACATCTTTATCAATAAAACATTTATAAATCTTCATCTTATTAGTCATTTTCCATACAGGCTCATTCTACAATGAGCATATAGGTGGGAACGTACATACATTCTTGTATCTTTATATATATATATATACACAATACTATTAGGCCAACCTATCATGAATAATATTACAGATACTTACTTATATTTTTAATCAATCATATATACATTGAAATATTGATATTACATTAGAATAGTCGTTATATAACAGTATGTAAGGCAATTTAAAGTAGGTACTTGAAGTATTGATAAATTGGTTTAAACTATAAGCGTGTACAGACTTTAGTCGCAGGGTTTGAGGCTGATATAGTGATATGTTATAAAATGAATGCTCATAAGTCATAATACTGTTTTTTTTTATTAAGCTAAGACATTCCTAGCCTAAGGCTATCTATATCTATTATCTAGGGATATTTGACAATATACTTATTAGTTTTAACAGGTATTATCATGATAATTAAAAATATTTAAATACATGAGAGTATTTATGCTGAACCATACCCTATCGCTTATATTATAATAAATCATATGATAGGTGGGTTGGTACAGATTATATCTTATATGCATCACTTAACACTCATTTTACACAAAATACTAGGAATTTATTTTTAAGTTTTTCGACTAGATACATAAATATTTTTATACACTATTGTATTTACTTCATAAATAATGTAAAGCACATGTATATTACCATCACAAGTTAGGATATATCTTACCATATTGTATAGTAGATATAAAATAATAAATTAGTCATAGCTTGATTTTATATAGGTATATTATATTAATTTGTATATTGAATATTCATACTAGGTATTACATTTCTATAGTCGTTGTAAATATCACCATTTCGATCGTAAATATCAACATACTGATAGTAAATATAAACATATTTACACTCCAATACATATAGACACTATACAGATCTTAATAAAACTATATTAATAAGACGATACTTAAATATTAAAAACCTATACAAAAATGTATAATTTCAACAGTCTGCAATGCTGATATAAATAATATATCTAGCTTTTATTGTATTCGACTTGACTCTAATTAAATATTAATTGAAGGGTGTACAGTTTTGTATAATAATATCATATTTTCAATGAAAATATATACAAACTTCATATTCATATTAAAAATCAGTAGGTTTCAAATAAAAATCATATTAGATGTAACCATATTATGATAAATATTATATTTTTTAGTTGTCATAAATATAATCATTTCAATCGTAAATATCAGCATATTAATCGTAAATATAAACATATTTTATGATAATTAAAAATATTTTTAAGTACTAAGCCACCGCTACCTCTCCACTTCACCGCCCAGCCATAGATAGCCCGCCACCACAGAATAAACAGAAGGGAATCGAAATACATTTTACATGGGTTCTTATGGGAGATGATAAAAACACGTCCGACATATTGGAAATTCTCCAGGGTAGCCGTATGTCGGGATATTCTTATTTGTTCATCATTTATGGCAGCACTGCTTATTTTATAAAAATTAAAAGTTGCGGCTTTTATTTTTCATTCATCATATTATATTTATATAAATGCACAGAATACTACATTTGTGATTTTTATTTTTATATATCTGATGATACAACTACAATATACAAATTGTAATAAGATTATATTATAATAGGTATATTTCTGGCACAAGTTGCTATGTCATCCAATTACACCAAAAGTATGCCATATGACATAGTATAAACATGACATTTTTCATCAGTGGCGCTGAACCTTTTTTAAACCATTGGGGTAAACCCTATTTGTGGATACCCCCACCCTCACACCTGAGTCAAATTAAGACTCTCTCCCGGACAAGTTACCCGGTATTGTCCCAGGGCCAGCCTCTTTTCACGAAACATGTTTTTTTATATGGGTACTTATGATCAAAATTTTTTTAAAAATATAAAATTATTAGGTATACCTACTATTAAAATATTTATATTAGGTATGTAAGATAAATTAATATGTTATAGGTATAATATATAAATGTTTGTGATTTCAAGTCCTTAATGTGTAAGCTTAGTTAAATTCATTGTATTAATATTTTATTTTTTTCAAATAGTGTGAGTTTAAATGGAACATAAAGTGTGATGAATCGAATAATGTATCAACGCACAAAAAAAAACAACTTATAAAAAACAACTTTTTATTAAACAAAAAATAATAATACTTAGACATAATGATGTATTATACATTAATAATAATAATATTAACAATAGCATAATACTTGAGTAGCGTAATGCATAAGTAGTAAAAACGAAAACATGCTTACATATGTTTTAAAATTGAAAGTTTTCTATGTTTTATTACTCTTTCTGACATTAAACATCTATTTAAAAATTTAATTGAAGAAAAGATTCTAAACCGAATAAATAAATTTAATAAATAACTATAGTTAAAATTTTCACATGGATGTTTCAAACGAGTATTAATCAGTAAATCTCTTAGTTTGGCCCCAACATTGTCTTCTGTTGCCAAGGAAGAAAAATGTTCAACAAATAGACTTTCTAATTTAAAAATGTAATTATAAAACTCATCATGAGGTAATGTTAACTTTCCAAATGTTGAATTATCATTTGCAGTAGATTTAAAAAAAGATAAAAGAAAGGATGGTTCAATATTTTTTTGAAAATTGGCATAATTTAAACAATCACTGCAAGTATGTTTTTCGAGGCATTTTTTCATAAGATAACCACTGATGTAAGTTAAAGCGTTGGTTTCTGGGATATTTAATTTTCTATAGTCAACTGTACCAATTTTGATGGGATTAAATTTAAAAATACTTTGTGTTACATTACAATTAGTTTTACTGGGATTGACAATTTCATTAATTGAGGCTGACATTTCATTCATCTCATTGAATTGACATAACACATTATCTAAGTCCTCAATGCAATTTGCATCAGGAGAATGCCTAAAATATTCAACACAAAAAATCTTTTTGAATGCCCAAATAAACTGAATAGGGGTTGGGTTAGTGTTGTTACCGAGTTGTTGACGGATTGTTCCAAACAAATTTTCAAGGCAGTCTTGATTTATACGACCTGTACAAAGAGTATAATCTTTGTTTTGGTCAACGTTTAATGAATTCCACAGCATTTTCAAACCAGATATTGATACCAACCAACCATTTAAAAAGTTTACTCGTTGTGTCATGTCAGTTGCACTTAATTTACTAACAACCTTCATGTTTTTGAACATTTCAGTCATTTTGTTTAAGTGATCTAATTGATGTGAATTATTATTGAAGGGGTCATTAAAAATTTTACTATTAGGTGTATCAGAAGAATTAAAGATATCAAAAAGTTTATCCATATCATTAATGAAATTGATTGTAGGTATTGAATTGTTTGGTAAAATACCAATATTCAATGCTGTAGACATGCCTGCAGCTACACTATGACTAAATACTTGGGTTGCCAAACGAACCTTCATTTTTTCGAAAGGTCCTGGATGAACATGCGAATATGTTAATTTTGGAGCAGTTCGCAAATTGCAATTGGAATCAAAACTGTAAAATTCATCTAGATGCTTTTTATCTATCAAATCATTATTGATTTCAAAATTATGTTTAAAAAACATATTGCGGGTGGATTTCAATAGATGTGGCGGATCAAAAATGTAGATTATTTTTTCACCTTCGACTACAAAATATGGCTCATCTGGAGAAACACCATTTATTTTGGAAAAACTTAAAAAATTTGAACCTTGATCTGTGACCAAACTTTTGACATTAATATTTATATTTTTAAGCCTGCGAATAGTTGAAAAAAATATATTATTTAGATCAATAGCGGTACAGCTGTTAGAAATTAAATAATAAGCAATTGGTTGCTTCCAGTTACAGTTGATTCCTCTTATCATCAGAACAAGAGCATGCTTAGCAGGATCATATGTTCTAACAGATTTGGATTGATTAAAACCAACTATTAGATCTTTTGATACATTGTAGTAAAGGTGAGTCTTAATTGACATTTCGTCTACACAAAGAATGCAATTTAATGCTTCAGGAGAAAAAGTTTTGGTTTTAAATGATAAAAAATGAAACATAAAATCATTAAGGCCAGGTTGGAATTCATATTTAGAAGTGATTTTTCTTAAAGTTCTTATAGTTGGTAAACAAAAATTTTTTTGAAGCAAATGAAAAACGTTAGGACTAAGAAAATAAATAGTAAGAGCAAACTGCTTAATTTCGTTTGAAAATCGTTTTTGTCGAGGACTTTTATCTTTATTAAGAATACTATTTTTTACCACTATAAATAAAGAAGGTGTAAGATACTTTTCAATCAGACGTAAGATATTATCAACCGTGTCTACCTGCTCTAAAAAGTTGTTTAGCTGGTTATTAGATATTTCTAATTTTTTTATTTTTTGTTCAGTCTCTGCAAGTCTCTTTAAAAGATAACATTTTCTTGGCGTTTTCGATGATAAATACCCTGGAGTTTGGGTACTTGCAGTTGCTTCATATATATCTGTAGAAGTAGACACTGAAGAAGTTGAAACAGATGGACTAACAGATGGACCTAAAGATCATAAATTAATAATTTTAGTGACTCTATAAACAATTTTTAAAATATACATATCGGCATGTTTTGGTGATGCAGTTTTGAGCAACATGGTAATTAGTTTATAGCTAACTAAGTTTGTTCGCTCAAACTGGTAAACAATTTGCTGAAAACTACATTAGTGTATTACCAAAACATGCCTAATATTTCAGATAAAATATAAATGTATACATAGGCGCCAGGTACATGGGTGCCCGGGGGCTCAAGCACCCATTAAAATTATTATGGGGTGCCGGGCACCCATTAGAATATTGAAAATGTATAGAGTGTATTTATATCCAAGTTTTGACAATTTTAGCAAACGACTATTGAAATACAATTCTAGCTGTGATCTTTTTCAGCACTTCGAAGATTAAAAACATTTTTAAGGTCTACAATGAAACAAAATCGTCTTAACGATATTTGCTTTATTGTTTGTCCGTCGTAATGAAGATAATGACATTGATAGCTAAGAGCTAACTCATTTATAAATTCAATTATAATAATAGGTAGGTACGTCAAAGCATATTTATTTTCTGAACAGTCAAATTAAATTTATTTTATTTTTTGTTTTACTTATTATTATTATTTATAAATAAGTTCCCAATTTGGTATACATTTATTTTGTTGTATAATTAATATATTTTATAATCAATGATGATCGCATATTTCAGTGTACAACATGGTATATATTATAATTTAATATTTGTATACACCAAAAAAATCCATAAGAAAATGCAAACGTTTTTGGTGAAGTAGTAGAATCATGACACCTATAGGCGAAATTTGGAGAGCCAAAATTAAAATTTTAGGGGGTTAAATTGCAACTAGCCCCACCTGAAAAGACAATTCCATTTTTTAAATTTTACGGGGAAATTTGTCTTGACCAGTGGCTAAGCCCCCTCCCCCAAAATTATGTATTTATGCCTATGTTAGTATGATACCAATGGTACCAAGGCACCCATTAAGTTTTTTGAAACCTGGCGCCTATGAATGTATAGTAATAAAATAAAAAGGTTGTAAATAAAAAGGTTACCAGGGGTTGAACAGGATAGCGGGGCATTAATTGAGCTTATACTAATATCATTATCCATCTGAATACTTTGGTTTGACTGAATACATTCAGATTCAACCAAAGAATTATTTGTAGACTGCAAAGCGTCCATTGATACAGGTTTCATGAGAAATAATGTCGGGATTGCTGTCGATTTAAGCTTTTTTCTTGATTCAAACATATGGTTTTCAAAATGTAATGAGCATAGCTTATAAGTTTTATGCAACACATCAAAGTCTATGGTTGGTAAATATCTTGCTTCACATTTTAAAACCCAAGAGGCACACCTATAAAATAACACAGTGTACTATAGGACTCAAATTTAATACCTGGATCATTTGTGAATATTTATGTTTATATTTATGCACTTACCTTGAATGATCTTTAGGAAATTTGAAAAATGATATGTCATTACGTCCTTTTGACCAAATACTGGTGCAGTATGCCAAAGAGCATCTGCAGCCAGAACTCGTAAAAAAATTAAACATACTAGACAATTCAAGCGCAAACAACTTTAAAAATGGTATAAATTAAAATTAAAATTTGAATTTGGCGAATGAAAACTAAAACTCGGAAACGCAAATCAGTATGGCCATGAACCACATAACAATAAAAAAAAATAAGAAATATCTAATTTAAGGCAGCACTGTAGAATTTCAATATGTCGGACCGTTTTAAGACTATGCTTTCGATTCCCTTCTGTTTATTCTGTGCCGCCACCGCCAACAGCCCGATCGCGTACGTGCGCTACTATGCGTTATCATATATAACCGCGAGCATTTCTGCCCTAAACTGATAATTAAAAATAATACATTTTGTAGCTATCAAATACACCGAGACTTTTGAAGATGCAGCTTGTATATTCTCGACGAAAATGTTTGGGGCTATTTCAATAATTTCCGGTTCATTGTTATCAGCTAAAAAAAAAAAAAATCAATATTATTATGTTATCATCTACATATATAGATATAATACTTTTACATAATCCATTATTTTCTGCTTTATCTAATACATCAATACAAAAACTATCATATTCGTCTTCAAACGTAATAATGCAATTATCTAAAAAAAATAATAATTATTATTTGTGAATCAAGATATACCTATCTATTTAATATAACATACTTTTACGCATCTCATTATGTTCGACCTTATCCAACACATCAATACAATAGCCATCACTACTGTCTTCGTACATTAATTTATCATCAAACGCGTTGTTATCATCTATAATAAACATTTTTAATTAAAGACGATATATTTACTATATATTAACTATATAATATAAACTTTCATGCAATCCACTTTTTTCAACCTCATCCAATACTGCTACACCATCGTTGTCTACAAAAGTGATATTATATGTAAAATATTAAACACTAAATTATACAAATATATAATTCTTTCTTACTTGTAGTTGCTGCTGTAACTGGCTGTGCATCACTGTTTAACAAACCTAAAACGGAACAATACTTTATTATTTCAAACGAGAATTAAATGAGTCATATTGTATTTTATACTACAATCATGTACGTATGGTTGTTTATACTAAACCCCTTAAAACGCCCAGATTGCATTTATTATAGAACAAGTATTCGGTAACCGTATATTAAGTAAAACAATTATCATCCGTTGTGAACGATTGACACGGCACACCGGTTCAAATAATGTAAACAAAAGAGACAACTGTCTACAGTAATTTTAATCAAACCCGTGATACTGAGTACCTAACCGTCGTGTACTTGGCTTATCGTTGTAGATAAAAAAATTATTCCCGCCGATAAATTTACTCACCATGAATACTTTTCTCGTGTCGTCTGAGAGCATCCTTTCTGCTAAAAACAGTGTTGCATATAATACACTTAAAAGCTTCAATGGTATTATTATGACACTTTAAATGTCTGTTTAAAGAGTCATTCCTCGAGAAAGTACAATTACACTGATCGCACTTAAACATTTTTAATATGCACAAAATAGAAGTAACCTGTGACACAAATGACTGACGGATCGTTACTAACGCATCTGATAATGGTCGAGACAAATAATAATTTTTTTTTATACACGTTTCAAAGATTTTTGCTTAAATGCATTTTTTTTTTCTCTTAAACATAATATTGCGTGTGTGTGTGTGTGTGTGTGTGGGTGAGATTTTATATAGTGTTATAAATATTATGGGTGACATATGTTTTGAAAAAAATGCTTATTGCTGTTTTAATTTAGTACCATTGATAGATACACTTTTATTTGTATTAATTGAACCATTATTAAGACTTTTAGCATCAGCAATTGCAAAATTAACATTAAAAGCATTGCAAGCATGATTAGCATTAATATTTTCAAGTCCATCATTCTTAAAATAATCAATAAAAGCAATATTATGTTAAATTAAAAAGCTAGGAATGAGAATTAATATTAAAAAAGAATATTTACTTTATACAAGGATAAGATATCATCAGGAAAATTTGATTCAATATTTTCATTACATTTTTCTAAAACTTTATCAATACAATACATACTTGTATTTTCTAGATGATCATTTATTTTGCTATAATCCTGATGGTTAAAACATGTTTTAAAATAAAATTAGAGTAAAATTAATTGGTGAGTAATGACTAATGAGTAATGAGGTATAATATAATATTAATAGATAAATATAATTAATTTTTTTTTATCATAACAAATAATTATACTAACATCTTTTGAAGTTAATTTATTAACATTATTAACATCTTCAACCCATTCCTAAAATGAAAAATATGAAAATAATATGAGTAACTTGCTTAATAGGCATATATATTTTTAATCATGTAGATAAATTTGAACTAACCATAATTGTTTGTTTGCTTTCATACAAGTTGGATATCTTAGAAGCATCATTCATTTTTCATCATTCAAGCTCATCATTTAAATTTCGTCTAACAGTCAATATTTTCTTTGTACGATTATTCAGACAGTTATTGCTATTACTATCATTCCCTTTTAGT